TCACTGTAGAACAACAAAGAGAATGTTAGATCTAAAATTTCAAAGCTAGAAGAGTCACAAAATAAAATCGTTTGAAAGAAATAATTTTCAAGAAAAGGCACTGATACCACTGTTGGTCCCAGATATTACGATTTAAATTGTGATTCAACCAAGTTATACCAAAATACACAAAGTAATGTAGAATAGTAAAAGAACACAAAGAATTTTTGGCCTAAAGCTCCGGAGGTTCGGCGACCACTTCTAATGCTTAATCCTTTACGGAACCAAACGGAACCGAACCGACCCGAACCGAACCGAACGGAACCGAACCCGAACGGTTCCATAATTATATTTGGACCCGACGGGTCCATTTATTAAATACCCGAAAGTTTTGGGTCGGTTCGGGTCTCTTCAGAACCGAACCGAACCGACCCACGGACAGCCCTACTAAGAATTATCAGAATTTTCATCATCTGTGATCAACTGAGGCTCAATCTGAGGTGTCTCTACCTCAATCTGAGTCTGTTCAGCAGTATTTTGATTACTAAAATCAATTTCAGTAATAACAAAGTCATTTTCAGTTATTTCTTCTGCAGACTTATCACTAAGATAGGGAAAAACATTTTCATTAAAGTCAGCAGATCTACTAATGATCACTTTATATCATCTAAGGTCTTTAACCCAAAGTCTATAGCCTATTATACCTTCACCATAATCTAAGAAAACACATTTCTGTGACCTAGGATCAAGTTTAGACTCTGTCTGATGAGCATAGGCTGCATATCCAAAGGTTTTTAGATGGGAATAGTTAGGACCAGATTCTGACCAAACTTGTTCTGGGACTTTATAGTCTAAAGAATTAGATGGACATCTATCAATCAAATAGCAGACAGTTTTTTCCGTCTCTCCCCAAAAGATTTTTGGCAAACTTGAACTGATCAACATGTATCTAGTTCATTCAAGGATAATTCTGATCATCCTTTTAGCAATCTCATTCTGTTGAGAGGTATAAGTCACAGTTTTGTGTCTTAAAACACCTTGACTACTAATCAAATTCAGTATTGCAGAATTCTAACCCATTGCCAGTTCTTATAATCTTAATTTTCTTGCCTGTTTGATTTTCTATCAAAGTTTTCCAATCCTTAAAAGTAAGAAAAGTATCAGACTTTGATTTTAATAAGAAAATCCAGACCTTCCTAGAATAGTCATCAACAGTAATAAGGTAATATCTAAAACTTGAGGCAGTAGAAATAGGAGCAGGACCCTACATGTTATTATAAATGTATTTAAGGATATTCTGTGAGTTATGTATGCCTTCTTTAAAAGGCATTTTGTTTTGCTTTCCCATGACACAATGTTCACAAAGGGTTAGTTTCTGAACATTGTCACTTCCAAAAACACCAGCCTCGGAAAGATATTTTAAACCCTTTTCACTAAGATGGCCTAATCTTTTATGCAATAAATCTGATTTATCAATCTGTGTCACTAATTTCATAGAGTTATTCTGAAAAATAGATTCAGGATTTATGGTATAAATGCCATTGACTTTAGGTGAGATAACAATAAGTTTCTGATTTCTGATTATATTAGTGAATCAATTACTAATATCAATTTGATATTTTTCGTCATCTAACACCCCTAGAGAGTTGAGATTTCTTCTAAGTCCTAGAACATATCTGATATGATCCAGTCTTAGAATTTGACCATTCTTCAATTTTAAAACAATTTTTCCAATTCCTTTTATTTGACAGGTCTTATTGTTCCCTTATTTTACAAAACAATCACTGAGATTGGTGAAATCAGAAAACCAACAAATATTGGGACTCATGTGGAAGGAGCAACTTGAGTCAAACGCCCAGTTTTGATAGGCTTTTCCATAGAGGAAACATATGCAACCCCAAAATCAACATTTACTTCATTATAGGATGAAGCAATGGCTGAAATCCCATTATCATTATTAGATCCACTCCTTAAGTCATTAGCTCTCTTGAAACAGTCTTTTATAAGGTGTCCAACTTTTCCTCAATGATAACATTTTATGTTTTTGGTCTTCCCTTTATAGACTTTCTTATCTTTTCCTTTATTATCCCCCCATTTCTTCTTTTGAAAATTTTTATTTTTGTTAAAATTGGCTTGTGTAAAATTGCTCAAGCCTTTTGTAGAGGATTTAGGAAAATATAAGACTCTCTCTATATAAAGAGTTTTCTTATGCTCATATTTGAGTTCTAAGTCTCTATTTCTCAGGGAACTGTAGATTATGTCAACAGTTAGATCACTCCACCATACTTCAAATCATTTTTAACATCCTGATACTTATCACTCAGTGCATTGAGTAGACCAACTACCTTTTGATCATCAGAGATCTTTTCCCCATAGCTAATAAGGTCCTGAGTGATCTTATTAAACCTATCCATGTTTTCTTCTAATTCAACACTAGGGTCAAACTTATGACTGGAGAACTGCTTCCAAAGAAAACATTTATTAGGTAAGGATTTAGAAACATACAGCTTCTATAAAGCTGCCCATAACTCTGCAGCAGTATCAGTGTCTCCTATTTTCTAATAACAGAATCAGATAAATGAAGAAACAAAGTACTCTAAGCTAATTCATCTTGTTCACTTTTCCTAACATTAGATAAAGTTTCAGGCTAAGATTCATCAAGAGTTTTAGCACATTTAAGTGTCATCAAAAGGGCTTTCATTTTCTAACTCCAAACTCTAAAGTCTCATTTGCCATCCCAATATTGAACATCAATTTTAGTGGACATGCTATGCAAACGTGTTATAATAGTGTTCAGCAAGGAAGACATGCAAGAAACAAGGTATTGTTTTAGTTTTGAAAAATCACTCACAGTAAAATATACCCAATAAAGGTACACAGTCAGAGTGTCTACACACAGTAAATAGTAGTAAGCAAATTCAAGATATACAGACAGATATATACACACAGAGTATATACATAGAGTGAGAATTATACTACAGATAAAAAAATTCACAGCAGCTCGGTAGCAATTTACGATTATCAATTCAAGAAATCAAAAGACCGCAATATACACCAAGTATAGGTACAGTATGTTAATCAAGAAACCTAAATGGATTTCTAAAAAATTGTACTTTGATTCCCTCAGATCCTAAGGGTCTCTCAGAAACCCTAGACAAAGGTAAATCAAGGGGGTTTTCAGTAACTCCCTAAATTGCTAGCTTGAGAAACTAAAGTTTATAAAAAAACTATGAATAAGGTTTGAGAAAGTGTTACCATAGCTGCAAGCATGAATGGAGTAATCAAGAAGTAATAGAAAACGAAACAAGAGTTCAATCAAAGGATCTTTCTCACTGTAGAACAACAAAGAGAATGTTAGATCTAAAATTTCAAAGCTGGAAGAGTCACAAAATAAAATCGTTTGAAAGAAAAAATTTCCAAGAAAAGGCACTAATACCACTGTTGGTCCCAGATATTACGATTTAAATTGTGATTCAACCAAGTTATACCAAAATACACAAAGTAATGTAGAATAGTAAAAGAACACAAAGAATTTTTTGCCCAAGGCCACGGAGGTTCGAGCTGGTGAAGATTACGAATTAGGAACGTTGAGCATCCGTTAGGATATCGCTCGAATCCACTAGAATAGCCCAAATCAAGCAAAATATAGTTACAGTACAACAAGAATGTTCGAACTCTAAATACAAGCCACAAACCCTCAAAATTATAGATTAATCTCATAAAGAGATTAACCACAACTCTCTCTATCTGCTATATGACAAATGACTCAAAAATCTCACTGTATATTTACAAATTAATCAGAACACAAAACACAGTCGAGAGAGAAACAAGAACTAGGGTTTCCAAGTGAACGAATCAGTCATCCCAAGAGTCAACCATGCTATTTATATGAAATAGCCAAAGGTTTACAACCCAACGGTTAGTAATAGTCCAAGTGTCAGCCATCCATCAAAATCGTGTTTTGATAAATCAAACAAACAAGTTCTGGAGAAATCCATTAGCTGGGCCGGACCTGATGGGCTCACTTACAATTGGGCTCATAAATTCAGCAACCTTACACTTCATTTAATTATTCGATAGTGCGATATATGTACAATTAATCCACCATATTGAACTAAGTTGAAAAGTAAAGAATGTTGAGAAGGAAGAAGATGATAAAGAAAGTGGGGCTGATAAACATATAGATATGCTCACTAAAGAGTTTAAGAAATTCCTAAAGAACAATAAAAAGGAAGAAGTTCAAAACCTCAAGCACGACAAAAGAAGGAATTCTTTAACTACTCAAAGCCATGAATGTAAAGGCTTTGAACATATAGCTGAATGTGTAAACATGCTGAAGAAGTCTTGGTCTAAGAAGGCAATGAAAATCACCTGGAGCGAAGATGAGGACATTGTTCATTTTGCAAGAAGGCTATCTTGAATACACGAAGACAATGAGCTAAAATTCTGCAAGAGCACAACATCGTAGTCAAGCAGTCAAGCGTGTATAAAATATTATTCCCACAAGTGTCAAGGACTTCGATTTTAGTTAATACTAATTCAAATCGAATAGCAAATTAGGATTGGTTGGTTTTATAACTAATTTTCTAAAATTAATCTTATAAGCAACTAAGAAGTGATTACAAAGTTGAATAATGACAAGCACTGAGACTTCATATTTCCCGTCGTATTATTACTCTATTTTAACACAATTTAAGGCAATGACAATACTTATTAATCTAGACAATTAGTGTTCCTATTATGTTAAAGTTTTAACGAGTCGAACATCAATTTTAACACATTTCATAACTTCCACCATTTACATAAATTTTTAGGCTCAATGTTTCATCAAATTTTATCTTTTTTTGACTCCATTTCTGGGAAGAACATTGCTGGGATTGAAAATAATAATAAATAAATAAAATTATTTCACTCGACAAAACGGATTTTTTTTAATAAAAGAAATAAAAAATACCAAGCCCCCCCCGGTTGACTTCTCAATTCTGTTCCGATATATTCCTTGAAACCCTAATTATAGAGCGATGGATATTTCAATTCCTACTTTCCCTGTACACCACTCTACTCTATCTCTCGATATAGAGGTAAGTTAATTTTCTATTTATTAAATCCAAAAGTACTCGTATGAGTTTAATTTGGAGTGAAATTTTTATTCTATTGTTCTGAGAAAGATTGAATATAGGACAATCAGGTGTTCCCACTGCCTGTCTTCATGTATAGTTAAGTATATTTTTTATCTGAAATAACTCAAAGTAACGTGCCTTAAGCTTAAGCTGAAGCTGAAGCTGCAGTAATTTTGTTTTTTCTTTCCCCGCGTTAATGAATTGGCTGCAATTTCCCAATTTTGATTTTGGTCTGAATTTGAACTCCTGGATTTTCCGATCTTGCGTGTTAGGTTCACTAGTTTGCTATTGTTATGGCAGGGGCATAAAACTGAGATAATCATTAGCAGTTATGAGGATCATTTCCTTGTGAGTTTCTGACTCTGCTTTGTATTTGAAGTATATCTATGTTTACTAGCAGTTCTGATATCTTAAAAATCTTCTAGGTTATTGTGACCCAAATTGGAAGCATGGGGACAATATTGCATGCCAGGTGAACAAACTTATAATTCATTAGACTAGATGGTATTATGTTGGAACTCAATGATTTTTTGTGTTTGTTTTTATTTGGCATAGAAGGAGAAAATAACATAGGTAAAATTGGTCGAGGTGGCAAATTTGGCTGTTTACATAGTTCTAATTTGGCAACATGGAGGATTAAGTTTTCTATGACAGGTCTGGCCATCCCCATTCCGGGGTGTGCTGACCTTCTACCTTGATTTTGTAGAGATCTCAGTGAAAGAATATGGAGTTCCTCTATGAAACAAAACTAAGGGCCCGTCTGGGCCTGCTATTTCGTGAATTAAAATTCGAAATTGGACCGTTGGGGCTGCAACGGTCCAAAAACAACAAGAAATTGATTGCCAAATATTTTCTACTTTTTCCTTTCCTACCCTCCATTCGTCTTTGGCGTCAGAGTAGGAAACAAAACCCACCTACCACATTATTTCCTTCCCCAACCACCACGTGTTTTCCCCTTCCCCCTTCATCCTCCATTTTGCAAAATGTAACATGATTCGACCTGTAGAGATCTTCAATAATTGGTTGCAGATGTAAAAAATTCAATCGGTATAGATCCTCAAGTTCCGTCTTCGAGCTGCCAGTGAGGACGGTACATTTAGAGCAACGGAGAAGCCCAACTTTTCATTCAACCTGCAGCCTGCTTTTAAGTGTGGCCTTCTTCTACGCCTGCAGCCTAGGTGAAGTGGCACCAGTTTTGCATTCGAATCTTAACCATTTCAGCATCTACAGCATCTCCCCCATTATTGAAATCGGACCATTTCCGACGCCACTTACCGCAATTAAATCTGCACTCGGCCTCCCCTTCTTCTCCGCCTGCAGCAACGAAGACATCGCCAATAAATCGGTCCATTTCGCTGCACCCCTTTCTTTAACTTAGATTTAGTTGGAAGTAATTAATTTGATGGATCCGTTGGGACCTTCTCCGGTAAGTGAACGAAGCTTTCCTTCCATTTCAAAGTCCAGTGAAATAGCGGCCTCCCACTGATTATATATGTCCCGCTTTAACGAAATTTTGTTTTCTCCTTCAACTACTGTAGAATTACCACCACAGTCACTCGTCCACCTTGACCGGCCCTTCAGTTCACAATCATTGGGTGCCATGTAAAAATGCACAATGGAATGCACATGAGAACAACATCTTCGTGGCTGCCTGCGAGTTCGCTATCGTTGACGGACACAGGAACGGCAAGTACTTCACTAAACACGGCTGTGAGACATTAATTAACCCCTTAAACACCAATTCCAGCCGCAATTGGAACAAACAACAGCTGAAAAATCGATGGGATGCCCTCCGTATGAAACACAAGCGATTTGAAGAATTGCTCGACTGCAGTGGCATCTTATACGACCTGTCAACTGACAAGATTGGCCCCTCAGAGGAGTGGTGTGCTCGAAAAATTAAGGTACCATCGTGTTATTAACCTCAAGTCATTGCTCACGTTTCTGTGATGGATGGAAACGGTTAACTGCACAATATTTTTGTTTCACGACATGATATGCCAGGCTCTGTTTTATGTTGGTAAACGTGGCTGTCGATGGATCAATTACATGAATAATCATTGCATGCGTTCTGGGTGTTGTGTCTGTTTATTGTTATTTATCATTTATCGAATTCCTAATTTCGGGATATGTCATTGTGTGGTCCTGCTATTGCTTCATTCGAAGTATGCAATCTGTTGTTTCTTCTACATGTTCACGTACTGCCCTCTTATTTGGAGGCATGGTTTTGTGTCTTCTGTGTTGTGTCCTCCTAAGTGGAGCGGCTACTTGTGGTTGTTGTGTATTGTCCTCATATTCGGATCAGCGTCATTTGTGTGTTGTGTATTGTACGTGCATAATTTTCTAAGCCCTTTCTGTTCATACATAAACGGGAGAACAAAGACTATAAAGAATTCAAAGACAAAGATTGTCGGGAGGTGTATCGATACAAGATGTTATTCGGGGACGTCTTCGATAGTGATAAGTACGTAGTGACTCCGAGCAAGCTATGTCGCACAGGCTTCGCAATGTTCGAAGACAGTGGTATTGAAGATCACCGTGATAAGATCTCGGTGGATGTGGAGAGTAGAGGCTCTAGTGACTAGGGCATTGAATCCGAACCGGCTGCAGCAACCATAAATATGTCGGCCCGCACAGTGGTGATAAACGGAAAGTAGCTAGAGATCGAGCGAAGGAGAAGAAAAAGGTTTCGGCGCGGGACATGTCGTATTCAGTGGATCGTGTGAACACAGCCAGTGGGAAGGTGGCTGTCAAAATTGACCAGATAATTAGACCAGCTGTGTCCAACCCGAAAACATGTATGCAGGAGTTATTTGCCACGGGTCAACTGAAAAAACAAACTGATTTATACTACTGGACGTGCTCATTCTTCAGGTATAAACATAATAGGGAGATCTTGGACATGCAAGACGATGCGAACGAGAAGTTTGAATGGGTGGAGTGGAGCTGGCAAGAGTATAGGTGAGGACAGCCTTGGTGATGGCTACGGTACAAAAGGTTGCGTGAAGAGTCGTGACACGATTTCTCGTTGTTGTTGGTATTAGTTTTTATGTTTTTGTTTCGTAATTTTTAGTTAAAAACATTTTCATATGCTGTACTTTATTGTGGACGGTGACTTCCAATTTCCATGTGTACAATCAAATCAACTGCTTATGTGCATGCCATTATTGTTTGTATTTGTTTATAGGTTTACTTTTCTTAAATTTGAGTTGAAAAAATTGTCATATGCTATACCTTACTATACACTGTGACCACCAATTTTCATTTTCTGCAAAATCAATTGTTTGTGCATGCCATTATTGTGATTCATATTAGATTTGCAGCAGGTGTGCGAATAAGAAAAGCTTGTGGATTTATTGTATAATTGAAGTGGAAAAATGTACTTTAGTAGGTGAAAAAATTACCCATTCACATGATAAACATGTATTTGTTTTATGTGTATAATTTGTACACACTGTATTTTCCATTTGCTTATAAAGGGCAAGGCAAAACAACATCATTTCACTGCCTTCCCTAAGTATCGTCTTCTATATCATATTAGAAAGTTTGTGTATGAAGCATTTCGATATGAACTGTGATTTGCATCAAACCTTGGATGGCGATGATGAAATTGATGATGGAGCATTTATGGAAGAGGTATTGTTGGATATGATTGAGTGGTTTCAATATTGTCATATCAGTGAGGTGACTGTACGTAACTATTAATGTGAACGACATCGTGTTTTTCGCTATCCATTCGTGCGAAACGAGCATATGTTTATGCTAGATTATATGAATTGTAGCCCTCAACAGTGCTACGCGGAGTTCCACATGTACCCCCCGATGCTGCGAGCATTCGCACACGTGCTTCGAGATGAATATGGACTGCGCAGTAGGCAACATATAAATGTGTACGAACAAGTGGGTATGTTTCTATGCATTCTAGTGCATGAAAATGGATATAGACGGGTGCAGACGCTATTCAACCATTCGCTGGAAACTATTGGACATTATCATCTACAGTGTCTGGGAATGATTCTTGTTTTTCAACAATTGATTTTCCTGTCATTATCATCTACAGTGTTGAATAATGGTGAAAGTAAAAAATGGAGCAACATTCCATAATTGCCCTCCGTCCCAACAAATGTGATAATTGATTGTGCAGTCCGTTTTGACTATTCCACATCAAAAGTTCAAGCATGGGTCCCACCTGGTCAAATTTTTGGATTTTCATTTGTATTCTTGCTGAACTTTTTTTTCTTTATTCCACAACAATTTTTATTCACGTGACAGATGGAAATATTGTTCCCATATTTTCGTTGCATTTTCCTGACACGAAAATAGCACCACGCAACATCACTAATTTTTCGGTAATTACTTCGTGTCTCCCACGACAATCAAATTATGAATAAAAAATAAATTTCAAAACTTGATGTGCCAAGTAAGGTCGGAACATATCCCACTCATTTTGTTGGGTTTTCGGTGCACGCATTTCGGTTGCAACTTCGTCCTGTTCGCCCAGGAGGTCCACCTTCGCTGCGTCGGGGTCTGTCTTTGCTCTAGTAAATGCTTCATCCACCACACCCACTCGTCGAAGGAAGTTGTGAATTCCCATAGTTGCAATTACAACAGCTGTTTGCACTTTAAAATTATAACTTGGCATCCGATCGAGTATGTTATGGAATGTTGCTCCATTTTTTTACCTTTACCATTATTCAACACTGTAGATGATAATGACAAGAAAATCAATTGTTGAAAAGCAAGAACCCCTCCCAGACAGTATAGATGATAATGTCCAATGGTTTCCAGTGAATAGTTGAATAGTGTCTGCTTCTGTCTATATCCCTTTCCATGCGCTAGAATGCATAGAAACATACTCACTTGTTCGTACACATCTATATGTTGTCGGCTGCGCAGTCCATACTCATCTCGAAGCACGTGTGCGAATGCTCCCAGTATCGCGGGGTACATGCGGAACTTCGTGTAGCACTATTGAGGGTTACAGTTCATAGCATCTAGCATAAACATATGCTCGTTTCGCGCGAATGGATAGCGAGAAACACGATGTCGTTGTTCACGATAATAGTTACGTACAGTCACCTCACTGATATGACAATATTGAAACCACTCAATCATATCTAATAATAGCTCTTCCATAAATGCCTCATCATCAATTTCATCATCGCCATCGGAGGTTTGATGCAAATCACAGCTCATATCGAAATGCGCCATACACAACTTTCTAATATGATATAGAAGACGATACTCAGGGAAGGCAGGCAGTGAAATAATGTTGTTTTGCCTTGTCCTTTATAGACAAATGGAAAGTACTGTGTGTACAAATTATACACGTAAAACAAATACATGTTTGTGAAACATGTGAGTGGGTAATTTTTTCACCTACTAGAGTACCTTTTTTCACTTCAATTATACAATAAATCTACATGCTTTTCTTGTTTGCAAGCTTGCTGCAAATCTAATACGAATCACAATAATGGCATGCACATAAACAATTGATTTTCCAGTAGATGGAAATTGGTGGTTACAGTGCATAGTAAGGTACATCATATGACAATTTTTTCAACTCAAATTTACTATTATGGGACTTATCTCAAAGGAAAGCAAAATAGATAAAGAACAATAGAAAGGGCAAACGTGTAGGTTTCACTCTTATATCAAGATAAGGGAAATAAAGAAGAAATTCTAGAGCAAGACTTGAAAAACCATATTTATGGATCAAGAGATGCCATGAACCCCTCCCAGACAGTATGGATGATAATGTCCAATGGTTTCCAGTGAATAGTTGAATAGTGTCTGCTTCTGTCTATATCCCTTTCCATGCGCTAGAATGCATAGAAACATACTCACTTGTTCGTACACATCTATATGTTGTCGGCTGCGCAGTCCATACTCATCTCGAAGCACGTGTGCGAATGCTCGCAGCATCGCGGGGTACATGCGGAACTTCATGTAGCACTATTGAGGGCTACAGTTCATAGCATCTAGCGTAAACATATGCTCGTTTCGCGCAAATGGATAGCGAGAAACACGATGTCGTTCATGATAATAGTTACGTACAGTCACCTCACTGATATGACAATATTGAAACCGCTCAATCATATCCAATAATAGCTCTTCCATAAATGCCTCATCATCATCGCCATCGGAGGTTTGATGCAAATCACAGCTTATATCGAAATGCGCCATACACAACTTTCTAATATGATATAGAAGACGATGGTCAGGGAAGGCAGGCAGTGAAATGATGTTGTTTTGCCTTGCCCTTTATAGGCAAATGGAAAGTACTGTGTATACAAATTATATACGTAAAACAAATACATGTGAGTGGGTCATTTTTTCACCTACTAGAGTACCTTTTTTCACTTCAATTATACAATAAATCCACATGCTTTTCTTGTTTGCAAGCTTGCTGCAAATCTAATACGAATCACAATAATGGTATGCACATAAACAATTGATTTTCCAGTAGATGGAAATTGGTGGTCACAGTGCATAGTATAGTACATCGTATGACAATTTTTTCAACTCAAATTTACTATTGTGGGACTTGTCTCAAAGGAAAGCAAAATAGATAAAGAACAATAGAAAGGGCAGACGTGTAGGTTTCACTCTTATATCAAGATAAGGGAAATAAAGAAGAAATTCTAGAGCAAGACTTGAAAAAACATATTTATGGATCAAGAGATGCCATAGTCACACTGAATAGGATAAGTTCCATGGCTCAGCACTCTTAACTATTAAGCCTCTATTTGGCAAAATTTATAAATTATCTATAAATTGTCAAACATCATTTTCAACTTCACATTCCAATCGACGTACAAGTACTATCCACTTATCCATCGCTTATTTTTATCAATTTATAAATTAAATTGTTCATAACTTCTTCCCCAAAGAAGGCTAAATCTCTGCCTTGAAGACCTATTAAGGAGACCAAGGTTCCCTTGAGAATTTTCAGTTAGTGCATTGGCCTTTAAGGCTTTTGATGTTTGTATAAAGAAAGAGAAGAAAATTTCAAAAAATAAAAAGGTTTATTTGCATATAGAGCATGTATCTTCAATTTCCCTCAGTTCCTTTTATTTGTTTCTTACAACTTTTGAGATTCTCTCTATTAGTACTTAGGAAGAGAGGAAAATGATTGAGGCTGCCATGTGCACCAAGTACTCTAAACTTGCCATCAAAATGAATGCGGACGTTTATCTAATTTGGGTGTAGAAATTACGACGATTACGTTAAAACTAGTATTGACTTTTATTTAACCATTTTTTTGATCGATTGGGTGGGTGATAGAAACTGAGCAGATGCCCTCAAAAAATACAAGGGCAAGCTTGTAACCTTATGAGATACTCCCAATATGTGATTAGAAGAGATTGCCAAACTTAAAAAATTATTGTTAACATTTTCTTCAATAAGGTAATAATGTATCGGCAGCTAAGATTGTACCATAATAGCTCTTTCATAGTATATTAGATGCTTACGTTGATCTTCCCTTTGTTCAATCTTCTGTGTCACCTTTTGCTGCCAAGGAGTTGCACAGTCCAGTGCTTCTAATGAAGTAATACTGTTAGAAGATCGTAACCTTGAGGGGTTGCTCAATTGGTCAGGCCTTGAGTTTGCTTCTCAATGGTCATCAGTTCGAGTCCCCTTAGGGCCACTGAGGTGGGTACCCGGCCGTAAACTTTAGGGCCCCGTGGAATTAGTCGAGGTATTGACTTTTATTTAACCATTTTTTTGATCGATTGGGTGGGTGATAGAAACTGAGCAGATGCCCTCAAAAAATACAAGGGCAAGCTTGTAACCTTATGAGATACTCCCAATATGTGATTAGAAGAGATTGCCAAACTTTAAAAATACATTTTCTTCAATAAGGTAATAATGTATCGGCAGCTAAGATTGTACCATATTAGCTCTTTCATAGTATATTAGATGCTTACATTGATCTTCCATTTGTTCAATCTTCTGTGTCACCTTTTGCTGCCAAGGAGTTGCACAGTCCAGTGCTTCTAATGAAGTAATACTGTTAGAAGATCGTGTTTGTTTCCCTGAAGTCATATTAAAACACATTAATCTTGAGGGGATGTTTGATTCCCATTTTTCTCAAAAATACATTTTTCTCTTTTCTTTTCATTCACACATTTTCCATTAAATTAATATTACATGCAAATTAAAAACTTTTCCTTCTTTTTTAACCACACGTTCTTCATCAATTTACTATTCCAAAATGCATTCTTAAAAAATAACGGGGCTTAAACTCCCCCCTTAACTTCTTTTGGGTCTGATTATGATCTAAATGACCAAACAAGTAAACTTGTCTATTGCATGTTTATTTGTTGTGAGTTCAATATTTTACATCAGCCTGACAATTGATCAATTGTGTGCTTATAATCCAACATCTGTGGCCATAGTCTGTATGTAAGGAATGCAAACATAAATGCAAATTTTTTAATCCACTGTCAGGTGTGAGCCCAAGAGCATGTGATCTAGACCTATTTCCAACCTTTATTTGTATCTAAATCTACGAGTTTTTCCATTGGTCATCGTATGTTAATGTTTTTCATGACAAATCAGAAGTGAATTAGGAAACAAGGCATGTCATTTTACGATTTGACACTATGTTCTTAATATGTTTGCTATCTTAAGAATCGATTTGAGAACGTTTGTCTTGTAAATTTGTGTTATGTTTGAGAAGTCATAAATTTTGAAAATGTCTAGTGTCGTAAATTAGTCCCACGTTTTTATGATTAACATATATGCCTGATGCGACTTTTATATTATGTTTTAGTAGAGATGGATTAGACAGTGTTCAAAAATATTAAGGAAGAAAAAGAAGTTAAAATCTTGACTATGTATTGTGTAAGTCCAATGCAGTACTGTGCACCAAACATGACATTAAGAGTTGTATATTTTATTCCCAGGAAAGAGGAAGGGGTGTCAATTCATCCGACTTTCAATGTTTCTGTAACATTTGGTAAACGTGATGAGGTAAGCTCTCTGAGTTGTCACTTGTCAGTCAGTCTAGTCTTTGCTATTCCATTAGCTTAAAGGACTCGTCAATAGAAAAACATGAGCTGATTTGCTAGATGATCATGTGCAGCCAATGCTGGTTGCATGTGCTCGACAACTGATCGAATACATAAGGTATATATCAATTTGATTCCACAAATGGTTTCCTAATGTTTCTCAGACGAATGCTTATCAACCATGAAACATTCTAACATTCTCTGTTGCATTCGTAGTGCCTCTGGATATTCTAAAGGATTAGTACTGTCCCTTGGCCTCAAGGATCACTCCGTGGTACTACGACATATCTTCCTTTATTTTCTGGAAAATTGCAGCATGGTCCTCAACTTATTGCCAGAGTAGCAAGTTGATGTCTGACATTTAATTATAGTTGCACAATCAGTCCCTAATGACAGGTATCTGGTAAATCTTTTAGAAACATTTTTCTGCTTCAAATTCCTAGACATTGGCCTGAGTTGGGAAGCAGAATCTAGCTTCCTAATGTTGGAGTTGGAGTTGGAGTTGGAGAACGAGGGCCATGTAACGATTGAATAGATATTTGTTCAGTTTCTGTCACTGAGGACTGATTGTGCAAGTATAATGAAAGGGCCTAGTATAACCTTTTTTTTTTTTTTTTGTTGGAGTTGGAGAACGAGGGCCATGTAACGATTTAATAGATATTTGTACAGTTTCTGTCACTGAGGACTGATTGTGCAAGTATAATGAAAGGTCCTAGTATAACCTTTTTTTTTTTTTTTAAATTTTGTGGACAAAATTGCTACTTATCAAATACTGGGGACCAGCAGTACAGATTTTCCTTTATTTACACCATACTAATACCCTTTCCATCTATGCAGGGAACGCTGAAACACATCGTTTCTGCTGTAATTGAGAAATTGCCTGTGGTAACTTAGTATTATGATCCCAACATTTGGCGTTTGGTGGCTTGTTTGCCCTGCCCGAGAGTAAAATTGAAAAAAATAGAACTTATTTTCCGTTTCAGTGGCTCGGCATGGAACATGCATTCATCTTTACGTGACAATATTTTCCTGAATAATGCTCCTTGGCCAAGGTCAATGATAGGATGAGAGGTGACAGGGTAGGATTGGGTTTTTTTTTTAATTATCAAAGTTTCCATGTATTGACACGTGTTCCTTCTGTCGTTGAGCCTATCACTGTAACATGTATTTTTCTGCATGACATTGGAGGTTTTGGCCCTTACTTCTATGATGTGATATAACCGTGTTTGTAAGATGAAAAGGAACATATTAATTAGATATAAATTGGTATTAGGGTGTAGGGTATTTTATACTCCTATTATCTTATTTCTTTCAATCATCCCAAACTCTCCGCTGCGTAAAATTAAGAATCAATAATCATTTAATTACCACATGTAGGCGGTATTAATGTGACATTAAATAAAATATGCAATTAAATTAGTCACTTAATTTTATCTTTTATTGTGTCTATATCATATAGTGTCATCTAGACTTGTGTTGTAGTGCTCGCACAAAACGGATAACGTTAAAAATTATAGATCGTCGAGATAATCACGACTCGATCAATGAACACTTCACGACCACATTTTCTCACTTTATACTTATAATAATACTAGGTGCAAGCAATGTGCAATGCACGTTTACCTAGTTTGCACGTTGCTTAGTTTATATTTAATAGTTTTGTTTAAGAATTAATTTGTTATTAATAAAGATGTAATTTTTTTGGTTAATTAAATAATTAATGATGTAATATTTATGTAATTGATAAATAATTAGATGTGT